ATATTAATCCAAGATGATTTGATACTTCATTTTTATAAAACAAAATTGACGTAATATATTCATTTCAAAATATACTAAAATATGAACACTTTGAAAGATAAAGGAAGCTAGGAAGGTTTTGATGAATTTTTGAGTTGTATGTTGAGTGTTTTATCAAATGTTATCACTTTGAATGGATTTAGATTAAATGTATGTTGATTTGGATAGGTGTTGGTGTAAAAGTGGGGAAAATGGTGAATTTTGATGATTGACCATATATGATGTTGTATGTTGAAATTGAACTTCATTTTGAGTTGTATATGGTTGGTTAGATGCATTGCATGTTTGGTTTGGCTATTTTTCAGTTCTTGGAGTGCATTTTTCGTGATTTGCAAGTAAAGATTATGATGTCGTAATGCTGCAGAGACTTGATAGTGGTTTCGATATTTGCGTCTTCTTTTTGCAATTGTTGCAAAGAAGAAACTATCTCTGTTGTTGAATTCTTGATTGAAATCAAGTCATTACGGAGGTTCTCGAGCTTAACCCGGTCTCCTTCGCTTTCAAACTCGACATGAGCTACTTCTTGAAATGCAGTGGACCATTGAGTTTGAAGGTCCCGTGCGAGGCTAAAGGGTTTGACAAACTCTTGCAGCTCAAAATGGACATCAGGAGGAAGGTTCGGGTAAGACAATAGATCGTCCATCATTTGTTCAACCTCTGTCTTGAATTCAGGAATGAGGAAGGCCTGATCAAGATCTTCAACATATGCCTTTGATAAAAAAGAATCAAGTAAAGATTGATATGATGGAGTCTCAGAAACTTGCTCGACGGTTCTTTCTTTTTCCTTCTCCGACTCAGAAGGACCACTTGTCCAATTATCCAAGACCTCGAAGATACTGTTAATATCTTCGTCTTCATCGTTGAAGAAGCTCATCAAGTCCAGGTCCGGAGAAGGAATTGAAGAAAGGCCTTGGACAGAAGAGGTAACACCGCCTTGGGTCGAAGGGGAAGTAGTGAAAGGCCTGGGAGATTCGGTCGAACCTGTACAAGAAAAAAAAAGGAACAAATATACGTAAATTTCAAAAAGAACCACTACAAACTAATAAGGTTGATAAGGCATATACCCTTGTTCGGACTCAAGGGGGGTTGCAGCTCGAAAGAGGGTTCACCTTGTGCAGAGTCCTGTAATGTCTTCACAGTTGTCGAGGGTTCAGACTCAACAACCTTGTCCCTTCGACCTGGGGAGGGACTTCTATCGAAGCTACCACAGAGGCAATCTCAGCAATGTTCAACTGAGGCGTGGTCAACTGCGAACAAGTTATGCAATCAAAAGATTAAATGGAAAATCATAGAGGCGAAAGT